CAATTCTGAGAGTGTGTTTAAACAGTAAATCTGCCTGGAGGACGTTTCTGCTTCTTTACTAGACCAGCAGTTTCCTTATTAGTAGGGAGACAGTCCCAAGATTAATGAAGACACATTGGAATCACCTTAATGAAAGGAGATAGTATGCATATAAGGAGGTCATATTAATATCTATGTGAAACTACTAGTTTGGTGGCTTTGTATTGAACATCTAGATGCTTATTAATAATGGAGTTAACTTGTAAATTATTGTGAAAGAGAAACTATAAAGAATTAGAACAAAGCCTCAGGTGTGAAAAGCAATTAAGAATGATAAAATGTGTTTTGCTTAGATACCTTCACTTAAAGTAGAAGATACAGTGTTTCATGTATTTGATAAAGTCAAAGTAAAAATCATGCTAGACTCGTCTAATCTTCAGCATCAGAAAATTCGGATGTCCCTCGTAGAACCACAGGTAAGACCAAACTTCTCATTTCCATGTTGTGATGATAGGTATTTTGGGAAAGAACGGGATATGGTTATAGCAAATCCTACATGCTTCCTGATTTCCTTTAGCCTTATTAAGATCACAGACATTTGAGATTCTTTTGAGATCTTGGTGCCAAAATCAAAGATCTTCAGTTTATTTCCTCTGAGTTTCAAAATCCTCACTTTGGAAGGCAAAGTATAGGTGTTTCACCCAAGGTACTGGTCTTCAGCATTTGTCCTGCTCCAGCACACCTGCGCTCTCTGTGAAGCACAGTGACTCCACTGGCAAAACTGCACGGAGGAAAGGCTGTGCTATAGTTAAAAACACTATATTCTGTTTGTAAGAAAGAATGCTATTGTGGTATTAATTCCAAAAGTAGTCTTTTTGGAAAAATAAAAGACAAACCACAGTTACAGCTTATTTATGAAAAGATTTACTTACTAAATGACATGCTTCTCCCTTCTTGAGACCATGTCTACCTTTGCATTTTTTTTCCCACTCTTAACCGTGCATGTAAAACACACACACTTTCTGTGTAAGACCTTTGTGAACCCCCTTTCTCTGTCTCTATGCCAACCTACATCCTTTTAAACTTGAAAGTTACATTGAGGAAGGGGAAGGTGATAAGCTCTGTTATTTTTGCTTTTAATCAGCTTATTTTTCCTTGTTTATGTTACTTCAGATACCAGGAGTAAGCATTCCTACTGATGGTTCAAACTTGGACCTTAATGAACCAGAGACGAAGAAGAAGAAGCTTGGAAAATAACTACGATTCAACAACAGAACGTCAAAGACTATTTTCCTTTGTTAAAAAAAAAAAAAAGTACTTGAGAAGACTCTTTTAATCCTAAGTGTATAGTACGGTTTGTTGCTTTTTAATACATTTTAATAATTTTAGAAATTTGCATTTTTATTGCACTGTTGACTGGATCCATCCCATCATACTGAGTCAGTTCTGGATTGAACACAACTATTTGTACAGAAAACTTCAATTGGATGTCCATTACTTAAATACTGATAGGACAGCAACTTCAGGGATCTGTAAAGATCATTTTTAAATAGCACTCATCTGTTCATTGAGGAGATTAATTTTGCATAAGTACTTTGATTATAATATTGGTAGAAAGTAACTATCAATTTCCTACAGAGGAAAATAGAACATCTTTAGAGGGAACACTCCTTCTTTCAAAATCTTGAAAGCTGTTGTGTTTGATATGTTATCTCTTTGCCATCTTTAATTTACCTAATTTACATTAAGTTCCCTTACTATATTAAAAAGTCTCCTGGTATTTTATTAGTGGTCCTTAAACAGCTGTGAATGTTTGTGAATTAGAAGAAAAGAAGATGAAAGGCAGGATATTTTGACCTGATTGAAAAAAAAATTTTTTATTTTTGGAGAGGTTTTTGCTATAGGGTGCGAAAGAGACAGAGACAGAGAAGACAGAGACAGAGAGACAGAAAGTGAGAAATCACCCCCCAGGGGGGATGGCCACACTGCAATCCCTTCTCCTCCAGTCTCCTCTCAGGATCTTGGGCGCACATGCACATGCACCTGGCGTGAGTTTAAGCCACCGGGTCTGGGACTCAAACAATGGTCAACTACATGGATGTCCAGTGACATAGCCATTATGCCAGCTGCTGGTCCCTGTGACTGAAAAAATGTTTCAATACCAGATTATTTGTGGTCATTATCTCTGGTCTTTGGCGCCATTGTCTCCCTAAAATAAGGCATTAGAGCTCAAAGAAAGAATAGAGATGACACATTGAATGTCTACATTTTGTTTTTTATAAAAAAAGGATAGTAGCTTTTATTTTTTTAACTTGTTATAGGGCTCGCATACACTGGAAACAGAAAAGGGAGAGAAAATAAGAAAGCATCTTCCAAGGGGATATAATCATGCCACAGTCCCTTCTCATCCATTCTCCTCTTAGGATTTTGGGCATGCACTCACACATACCATGTTCTTCAAGCCACTGGCTTGGTACTCAAATCATGCCACTATCTGGCCCAATTAATGGATTTTAAATTGCAATTTTATCAGATTATATGAAAAGAATATTATTTAAAGAACCTGTTAAATGGGGACAGATTAAGGCATTCTAATAGAGTATACCAGATTGACTACTTCCCTTGCTAACAAAAGAGGTTAATAATGGTGTTTTCAACGATATTTTAGGATAGGGTTACCCTAAAACTTGTGACTTTGCAAAGCCAGCAGGTAGCACAGTGGCTAAGGCACTGGACTGACTCCCACATGGTAAAACACTATTCAAGTCCCAGACCCAGTGGCTTGAAACTCATGCCAGGTGTGCGTGCGTCCATGCCCAAAATCCCAAGAGAATGGATTGCAGCATGGCCATTACCAGGGGGAGGGCATGATTTCTTACTTTCTCGGTGTCTCCAGCGAGTCTGGAGACACATGCACATCCAGCATGCACCCTATAGCAAAAATCTCTTAAAAGTTTGCTTATAAAATTTCTAAAGTACTCCCAGTGTACAACATCCCTTACTAGTAAAGTAAACTAACAAGGGACTTCAAAAAAATGTAAATAGAAAATGAAATAAAGTATGACTATACTTGGGTACAAAATAAACCCTTGAAATTCATACATAGGTTTTTCATAATAGGTATTTTCCATGGTGTTTTTTGTTTGTTTGTTTGTTTGTTTGTTTTAAGACATTCCCTCATCTCTGCCTTCAAGGAGCTTGTGGTACAATAAGAAAATACTGGCAAATGAACCAGCAGGCAAACTAGGTGTGGGTATAATTACAGTATTTACAATCATGTAAGCATTTGTTGAATATTTCCTGTTACTGAGAAAAATATCCATACATTGAGGGACAGAAATTGTTTTAGTGATAGGTAAGCTGAGTAGTCTGGTCTAAGTGAAATAGGTCATTGGCTAATGCAGTAGAGCACAAGTCAGGAAACTTCTCTGCAAAAGGCCATTTCAGACTTGGTTGACTGGTCTGATTGAACTGTAATACTCAGTTCTTCGGTTTATATAGTGTGGAAGTAGTCAGAGACAATATGGAAAAAGGAGCACAGCTATCTTCCGACAAACCATATAGACATGAAAAGGTAAGATTCATAGTTTCGTTTCTAAAAATTTGATAGAGGGCACATGCACTCCCCAGAGATGGGGATAATGATAAAGCACCTCTCAATGGAGAATGGTCATATCATATAATCCCCTCTCCATTTCTCTCCTTTCAAGACTTAGAGCATGCCAGCATGTTTCTCAAGCCACTAGGTCTGGGGTTCAAACCACACTGACAACCATGTGGGATCCTGCTGCCTTAATCAGCAAGCCACCAGCTAGCTCCATTTAGGTAACTTTTCATAGGTCACAAAATGTTACCCAGTTGAAATCACCCTGCCAATTTAAAAAGTGTCTACAGGCCGTAGTTTACCAGCAATAGAATGGGAACTTCTTGGGACCAGCAGATGGTGCAATGGTTGTTGCAGGACTCCCACATAGTTGATGGCAGTCAGTCCTGGACCTGGCAGCTTAAAGCTCAGTGCTGGGGGGCCAGCAGTTGGCATAATGACTACGACACTGGATTCCCATGTAGTCAACCATGGTTTGAGTCCGGGATCTGGTGGCTTAAACTCATGCTGGGCACATGTGCGTGCATGCCCAAGGTCCTGAGAGGAGAATCAAGAAGGGACTACATGGCTATCTTCCCTGGGTGTCATTTCTCATTTTCTGTCTCTTTCTGGTGAGCACACTTGCCCTATAGCGAGGAAAAAAAAAAAAAAAAAAACCCCAATGCCAGGAATTGGCATTTTTTTTGTTTGGGCCAGGCATGTGCATTTATTTGTGTGTGCCCAAAATCCTGAAAGGAGGAAGCAGGGATTGTGGAGTGGCCATCCCCCCAGGGAGTGATTTCTTGCTGTCTTTGTTGGGCAAGTGCAAGTGCCCTATAGCAAAAATCTCTTAAAAAAAAAAATGGGAGGAGGGGGGACTTCTTAGTAAACAAGGCAAATGATTAATGTCTGTAACCTTTATAAGATTGTTATTTTGTGTCTTAATTATGAAGAAGACCTAATTCAGGCATTAGTTTCATTTTCAATGGTAGTTCTTATACTAACCAACTTACATGAAAATATGTCTCTTGAAACTCAAAAAGCAGTTAGGTAGGTAGGGTTGTAACCTCTTTAACAGATAAGAAAATTTAGGTTTATGCCCTGATGAAGTGGTAAGAGACAGCAGGGATTTGACCACTTTATAATCATTACTGTTACTTATTTCTTGACTATAGTATTAAAAAACCAAAGCCAGTGAGGCTTTTACCTTAGATCCCAAAATATGCTTCTGTATAGCAGTTGTTTTCATATTGTATCTAAAGCTTATGTGACTGAAGACAACTTCTCAGTGCAGTATCTAGCTAGGGACTTCCCGGCTAATGGTTTCATGGTTAGTGTGTTGGTGAAGTGGGTGAATCAGGTACACAAGAACACATCCAGTTAGGAATACACTTACATGATATGGAATACCATACAGGAAGAGTAAGGAAGAAAATGATACAAGGATAATTACGTCTTTATTTCCTAAGGCTATGTATGAATTGCAATTCCCTTTTGAGTGAGACAATTTTAAAAGGTAATTCATGAGTATATACATTCTCCAAGATATTCCCAAACATGTTACATACCCATCTAACTCCCAAGATAATGGAAATTTTTAAAAAAGTATCAACAGTTGACTTGAATACCATGAGATTGACCTGTGTAGATCTACTTACAGATACTTTTTCGAAGACAAGACAAACTATTCATCTTACAAACTTAATGATATTGATGAACACAGCACTATAAACATTTTTCTTAGGATTTTAATATTTTCTTTAGCTTTATACTAAGGATACAGTATTATAATACATAAAACATACAAGATGTGTATCAACTGTTTATGTTTTCATTTAGGGTTCCAGTCAATAGATTATTGGTAGTAAGTTAGGAGGAGTCTAAAGTTATATGCACATTTTCAAGTGCAGAGGCTAATCCCCCTACCCTACCCACCCCTCACCATGTTAAGGGTCAACTGTGGTTGTATTTAAGTTAACATATCTGTCCAACTGGTCATTTATAAGTCAGCCCAGCATGAACCCTACACACTTCCCAGGTTCAGTATTTCTTCTAGTTCTCCATGTGCTATCCCTAGCCAAGTTTGAGTTGAAAATGATGTTCCTACTCTAAGAATAGAGGTATCTTATTGTGAGAATCCCACATTCACTCTACAGATAACACAATGATACCGTCAGTATAACTTTTCTAGTTTTCACATTTTTAAAAAGTAACTAGAGCAATTACCACTGGAATTAGTTTTCCCCACAAAAATTAATAGACTTAAATTTTCAGAAAACCTATGTAACTTTCTTTTCTGCCTCTTCAGTAGATTTGTTTTATATCTAAATAGGAGTTTTTTTACACTGGTTACAATATTCATTTGTTCACAAGTACATATGTAAAAATCTATGGTGCTATCAGTTTTAATATTTTTACACCTGTCAGTAGGAATAAGCTAGTCCACTGACCCAGTAGGATAGCAAATCAGCTCTGTCACATTTCTTTTCTTGTTAAACACATCACTCAAGGTAAGTATAAAAATATTTATTGATAAAAAATAAACATGTAATTCGACAACTGTAAGTTCCAGGAGCTTTCTGTTGTTTCTTTGTAATTAAATTAAGCCCTTGATTTTTCACATTAAGAAGGGAAAGAAGAAAAGCCAAGCATGTTACTTAAAGCAGTTTTTTTCCCAGTTACCATCACATTATTGATCTTGTGCATAAACATGTGAGATTATTACTACTCAGTGAGAGTCTCTGGTTCTGAGAGAGGTATTCTATGGACTGCTGCATGCAGAAGGATTTGCTGTTTTCATCCAGCACCGCTGGGTAGTATGGTCTTGCTGTAAAAAAAAGAGAAAATAGTGTGTTTTCAGTTTAAATAGGACCATCAAGGGTTCAACAGCAAGAGGAGTATCCCTTATCCTTTATGCTTGGGGCCTCAAAGGTTTCAAGGTAGTTTGGATTTGGGAATATTTGTGTGTACATAATGAGGTCTCTTGGAAGGGACACAGATCTAAAGAAAATGCATTTGTTTCACATAAACCTTGTGCACATAGCTTGAAGGTAATTTTATACAACATTTTAAATAATTTTGTGCATGAAACAGTTTATGTACATTGAACCATCAGAAGTCAGGTGCAGAATTTTCCACTGTGGCATCATGCCAGTGCTCCAAAAGATTCAGGTTTTTTTTTTTTTTTTTTTTTTTTTTAAGAGGTTTTTGCTTTAGGGCGTGTGTGCTTGCCAGAAAGACAAGAGAAAGACAGAAAGAAGCAAGAAATCACCCCTGGGGGAATGGCCACACCACAATCCCTTCTCCATTCTCCTCTCGGGATCTTGGGCATGCACGCACACGTGCCCAGCACGAGTTGAAGCCACTGAGTCTGACTCGAAACACAGTCCACTACATGGGAGTATAACGACATAGCCATTATGCCAAATGTTGGTCCCAAGATTCACATTTTGAAGCATTTCAGATTTCAGTATTCAGGTTGAGATGCTCAAACTTATGTGAACTACTTTAAAAACCTGAATATGGGTTTCTTAAGCTTAATTCTAAAGGGACAGTAAAGATGAAAAAAAAATCAATATTCTATATTAAAAAGAACTCTTTCTGTTTCTTAATGCTATTTGTTTATATGGATAATTACAATGCTAATTCTTAGGATCAACTATCAGAACTTTTCAAGTTAATCTTATAAAGCAAAAGTCAGGTGGACTCCCTTTTAAACTTCATCTGCAGAGTTATGTTCAGTTGCATATTTGCTGATGTTTAGAGTACCTATTAATAAACTAGCATCTAAGAACGGCTGGAGACAGCCAGTGGTGGCCCCAATTTGTTCAGTGAATTGTAATTTCCTGTGATGGTTAAGGCAGCTGGAACTCACATGGCCAATTGTGCAATCAAGTTCTGAACCCTGTGGTCTAAAAACGATGCTAACAACAAATGTGGGCATGCCCAAAACCTAGAGAGAAGAATGAAGGAAAAGGGATGACAGTGTGGCCATCCCTCCTGGAGTAGTGGTGGGGGAGGCTTTCTCACTTTCCCTCTTGCTATCTCTCTATCTGTCTCTGTTGAGTACACATACCCTATAGCAAATTTAAAAAAAAAAAAAAAAGATGCCCTTCCTGACTTGTGAGACCGAAAGAAAGAGACAGACGCATCCTCAAATGGGTCTCATGCTGGGCCAGATAGGTGGCATGGAGGTTAAGGCAGATGGATATCACATGGCCAACTGCGTGGTCTGATTCCTGGACATACTGGCTTGAAAAACGTACCAGGTACATGTGTGTGTACATGCTCAAATCCCAAGAGGAAAATGGAGGAGAAGGGATTGAGGCATGGCCAACCAATCTCCCAGGGGTCCTTTCTCACATTCTCTCTCTCCCCCTTTCCTTCTGAGTACACATACCCTATAGCAAATTTAAAAAAAAAAAAAAAAAGATGCCCTTCCTGACTTAGCAGCTAAAATTATGATGTGCTTCTTCAAATATGAATAGTTATAACTATCATACCTAGAAGGTCAAGTAAGTGTTCTAATAAAAAAAAAATTTAAACTACCTTTATACAGTTTGTGGAATAAGACACATGTATTCTCTATTCAGAGTGACCAAAATTTAAAAGCTATTGGGTTTTAAGAAAATCTTAGCTTTTAATATTTTAAACTTGATGTATAGTTTCTCAATTGTACTATTCCCTTCTCTGATAATGAAAATTTTGTGTTTAGCTTTGAGACATTCTTTAAAACATTTCAAAGATAACAAAATCAACATAAGAGGCAAACATTTCTGATACTATTTCTCATTAATTTTAAAGGACAAGTTTCAAATATTTCAAAGTAGAGCTAATTCTCCCTTTTGTTTGGCCTCTTCTTTAAATGTTTCCACAGAAGGAGAGTTAGAAATGTGAAGTGTTCTAATTTAAAAACTACACTAAGTAGACCAAAAACAGGATAAAGAATGAACAGATGATAATAAACCTTTAAATAAAATGGAGGAATAACAGGTTGAGAAAAGTCACATTTAGTAAATACTTCTAACCAATATTAAGCTTTCTGTTTTCTCCATACCTTGATATTTAAAGCTTGAGATTTATTTTCAACTTCATAGACTTGAACATCACTTTCTTTGCAGTAACTTTCTACCCCAACTGCATCCATAACATTGCTTCCACAGTTCTGTGTATTATAGCCACTATCCATCTGAAGAGAGAAAAAAAATTCCTAAGGATAAAACTGCAAACTCGAACCCACTTAATGGCTTTGTATTGTTAGTTCAACTTTTCATGTTATATAAACTAGCACTTAAGAAGCTGTTCCAGCCCCAAAGAGGAAAAGAATAGGATTGCAGTAAATTTCCAATTTGATATAGGTAATAAACATTTGAGTTCTAAAAAAAAGAAATCACTTGCCCCTACATGTACTATATAGACTATTCTTATTTTCTCCTTTCAACAATCATATTACCTTGTAGATGAGGAAGCTAAAGGCTCAGAAAGGGTAACTTTGTGTCATACAGTACTGAAATGATGAAGTCCAGATTCTGTTCACTGCACAACACTTCACTTACCTACTTAGTGCTGAGCACCCAACCCAACCCCAGAATCTTGCACTTAGCCCTTCCCCGCCAGTTAGGATAGGAGGAAAAGGAAAAGACTACACACTTCTGCTCCACTCACAAACATTTAGAATACATTCTATTAATCATAACCCAAGAAAAAATGTCTCCAGTGTTCAGGGATGATTGCCTATCTGCTTGCTACCAGGAGTGAAGTGCCATTAAAACAAAAGTCTTGTGACATGTAAAATAGAATCTACAATAACACTACATCTCAGGGACAACACCTTGTTCTGCTACCATCCCATAGCTATTTGATCACAACATCAGATTGTTTCCAGAGAATCTGCCAAGTACTCTTCCTCCTAATGTTCATCGCTGCCAACTAACTGGTTCATAATTCAATACTGATACATAACTGAATATATCAAAGGAAAAGTAAGTATGGGGGGGAGTAAGACAAACAGGGAATCTGTCCTTTTCTGTAGAGAGTAGGATCAACGGGAGCCCACGTGAAGATGGTGGCTAACCTCACTGTCTCTCATTAGACCACCACTGATGTCAATGCCTACTGTACTGACAAGACAACACAAACCATCTTGTTACCCACAGCCTACATACTTCAACATGAGCATCAGTATTATTTTACAGGATGAGGCACTAAAAAAGATTTTTAAAAATTATGCTCTATTCACCATCAAGTGGACCTCAAGATCCCAGTCTAGAATTAAGAAAATCTTAATTTAAACTTCTAGTGATTACTAGAAGGGACCAGGAGTTAGCGTAATGACTATGTCGCTGGACTCCCATGTACCTGACCGTGGTTCAAGTCCCGGACCCGGTGGCTTAAACTCATGCTGGGCGAGTATGCGTGTGTGCCCCAAGATCCCGAGAGGAGAATGGAGGAGAAAGGATTGAGGTGTGGCCATCTCCCCGGGGGCGTGTGATTTCTCGCTTTCTATCTCTCTGTCTTTCTCTGTCTTTCTGGCAAGCACACGCGCCCTATAGCAAAAACCTCTCAAAGAATTAAGAAAATCTTAATTTAAACTTCTAGTGATTACTAGAAGGGACCAGGAGTTAGCGTAATGACTATGTCGCTGGACTCCCATGTACCTGACCGTGGTTCAAGTCCCGGACCCGGTGGCTTAAACTCATGCTGGGCGAGTATGCGTGTGTGCCCCAAGATCCCGAGAGGAGAATGGAGGAGAAAGGATTGAGGTGTGGCCATCTCCCCGGGGGCGTGTGATTTCTCGCTTTCTATCTCTCTGTCTTTCTCTGTCTTTCTGGCAAGCACACGCGCCCTATAGCAAAAACCTCTCAAAAAAAAAAAAAAGTGATTACTATAGTGGCACCATGCTGCCTTAAAATGGTGTATCTATGTCAGTCACCTTACAGACACTTTAGTACTAAATTTACTTTCTACCACATAATTCAGATACCACTGTGTCTTTTTTTGAGGGGAGGGGAGAGATGTTTGCTTTAGGGTGCACACACTTGCCACAGAGACAGAAAGCGGGAAGTCACCCCCCAGGAGGGATGACCATGCTACAATCTCTTTTCCGTTTTCCTCCCGGAATCATGGGCATGCACGCACATGCGCCTGGTGTGAGTTTGAAGTCACCAAATTTAGGACTCACACCGTGGTTGGCCATGTGAGTGCCCAGTGACATAACTGCTAAGCCACTGTGTCTTAAAAACCGTTAATGATTCACAGTGTGTAAGAGTTGTGCCTTCCAGTAGTGTGCCTTGAATCCTGACTCTGGGACTTTAACCCTTTCTTTACCATTTCTGCTCCTCTTGGTTGCTACTGGTAGTTTAGAAGATCTTTCTCATTTCTCCTTCCAGAAAATCAATAGTGTTCAGGCACTTTTAGATTAGTCACATTAACAGTCACAATGATCAAACTATTATTCTTTAATCCTATTTTCCCCATTTTAAAGAGGGAACAAGTTAAAAGGTGTCACTTCCAAAATTTATGAAGCTATTTACCTGGGCTATAACTAAAACCTGCTTTATGCTTCCCCAAAGCCATTCTCTTTATCTAATGGCATGTAAACCACACAACTACAAACACTTGCAGTCATACCCCAACTCCAGAAAGGGTTACCCGTGTTAATGCTACCGAGCTCAAGAGCCTCCCTGATCTTACATGCCTCAGTTCCCTACCTATAAAATGGATCTTCATTCTACAGATGAGGATATCTACCGCATCTGTAAGGTATCATGAAGATTCGATTGTGACTACAAAATGCTTGAAATGGTCTCTGGTACTGAAAAAGGACATATAACCACTATCTACTATTAGTAATTATCCTACCTAATTACCGTTTTTAAAAACTCCCTCTCTCCATTTAAATACACTATTACTCCCATCTAAAGTAAAAACAAAGTAAAAAACAGTAACAAAAACAAGGGCCTAATGATACAGTGGTTAAGGTGCTGGGCTTCCACATGGCTGACCACAGTTTGAGTCCCGGATCCAGTGGCTTGAAACTCGCTGGAAATGTGGGTGTTTATACACGAAATCCCAGGATGAGAGTGGAGAAGGAACTGTGGCATGGCCATCACCCCTGGGAGGTGATTTCTCACTTTTCTTCTCACTGTCTCGCTAGAGAGTACACATGCGCTATTTGGGGGGAGAGGGCTTAAAAACAAAAACTACTATAAAATGATCTTGGACTTTTGATGTTCTCTGCTATCATTCTTTCCCTTCACTAATGAACTTCTTCAGAGAGATATTTTTACACATTAATTTACCCTCTTTAACCTTCCTCCATGCACTTTTCACCTTGCGGCTGTTCAATGACCAATTACTCATGTGTTTGTCACATAACGACATTGCGTTCAACAATAAACTCCAAAGAACAACGGTGTTCCCATAAGAAGTATGTAGACTATACCATCACTGAGACGTTTGCACAATGATGAATTTGATGTAATGATGCAGATTTCAGAATGTATCTATCCCCTCAGTTGACACATGACTGTACTTGTTATTTTCCCAATGGCCACCTTACAAGCCCTGTATATTCCTTGCTGTTATTCTGACAATACCACCATTCTTTCCTGCTAAAGATACTCCATGATGATAGTGTCTCTT